AGATACTATAAGCAGTAGGTCAACTATATTTGATATATGGAATGATTGTAATGTATACATGTCCGATTGGCAGTTTTCATCTTACCTTGACCTCAATTTCATGGTTCATTGGACAATTTTTAGTTTTTGTGGTTGGTCTATTTCTAAATACTATAAGCAATAGGACCACTATATTTGGTTTATGGAATGACCTTGACCTCATTTTCATGGTTCATTGAACAAAGTTAAGTCTTGATTGGCTTGGTATATTTCTCAGATACTGCAAGTAATAGGTCTTGTATATTTTTATTTGGTGTATGGAATAATGGTAAGGTGTGCATGCTCTCTAGCAGGTTTCATTTTACCTTGACCTCATTTTCATGGATCATTGGTCAATGATAGGTTTTTGTGGTTATGTCATTTTATCAGTTGCTATAAAAAATAGTTCAACCATGTTTGGTGCATGGAAAGATTGTAAGGTGTACTGTCTGGTTCATATTACATTGACCTCATTCTCATGGTTCATTGGTAATGTTAAGTTTATGTGATACTTGTAGTAAAACTTTGAAATTGCAGACTTTCAACATGAATTCAATCATAAGTAAAACAGGTTAGACATTTCAGAGTGTGCACTCTTGTTCATCTTTAGTTTTGTTTTGTTCAAGGAGTACAATTATTTAACAAAATGGCTGTAGATGGAAAAAATATGCGGAAAGGAACTACTACTTGGAAAGCCCAATTAATATCCAGTTTTGGAAACCAATTGCTTATATGAATTTGACTTCATAAGAAAAATGGTCTGACTCATAAACATGTATATGTTAAAACAGTAACTGTACTATTGCAAACTTTGCTTTTTTGTATGAAAAATAGGGTGTAAATAAAACCTACGTTGGCATTTTCTTCTTGGTGGAAATGTTTATTTTATAGAGAATAATTATTAAAAGGTATTTTAAACAAAAACGTATCAACCATAAAACCACAAAATTTGCAATGAATAACCTTACCATAGCTGATCCAATTTTAAATTAAAAGTATTTTCTTAATTTAATCTTTATGGAAAGAAACTGCTGTACCTTGTCAATAAAAAAGAAGAGTTATGATATAACAAAATCCCTTTATATACTTGACAAATATCAAAGCAATGGAACAGCAATGTTGTTGATGGGGGGGGGCAAGAGGGGTTCCAATAACAGCAAAACAGCAAATTGATTTGGCTTATAACTGATAACAATGAATTGAAAAGGGATAAAAACAGATAACAGTAAATGAATAATTAAAATCAGTCGGGTCCAGGACAAATCCAGTAAATGTTTTATTATAATTTTACCTCAAAAAAAACTTTATGGTTTGCACCCCCCCCCCCCCTTAAACACAATGCTTATTACCACAAAACACAGATCAAGTTTGAATTTTGGTGGTGTCACTGTAACCGTTATAGAGTTATGCACCTTTACAAACGAAAAAAATTGCTGATTTTTTCGTTTCCGTTCTCTAACTTTAGTTTGCCTCAACCAAATGCTATGAAACTTATACACAATGCTTATTACAACAAAATACAAATCAAGTTTGAATTTTGGGGTTGTCACTAAATTTTCTACAGTTATGCCCCTTTACAAATGGAAAAAATTGCTGAATTTTTCGTTTCCGTTCTCCGAGTAAAGTCAGTTTGCATCAACCAAATTTTATAAAACTTATGCGTATTACCACAAAACTCAGATCAAGTACACATTTGGGTAGGGTCACTTTTACTGTTCTTCAGTTATGTGCCCTTATAACTGTATATGATATGCAAGCGGGGCATCATCTGTGTCCCATGGACACATTCCCATTTATTTAATTACTTTTTACCCATTTTGTTGAGCCTGCAACTTACATCAAAAGTAGGCAAGACACTAGTACTGGGTTCTGCGGAACCCTTACGAATTTTTATACGACCGCCAAACATTTCGCGGTCATATAGTGGTATGACGTTGGCGTCGTCCGAAGACACATTGGTTTTCGCACAATAACTTTAGTTTAAGTGAATGGATCTCTATGAAATTTTACCATAAGGTTTAATACCACAAAAGGAAGGTTGGGAGTGAATTTTGGGGTTATGGTACCAACAGTTAAGAATTAAGGCTAAAAAGGGGCCAAAAATAAGCATTTTTCTAGTTTCCAGAAAATAACTTGTGGAACGGTGTATGGATCTCTCTGAAATTATACCACAAGTTTCCATACCACAAAAGAATGGTTAGGATTTGCTTTTCGGGTTTATGGCTCAACCCGTTAAGGAATTAGGGGCAAAAGAGGGGGGGAAAACAAGGGTGTCCTGGTTAATGAACAAATATTTTAGTACAAAACATAATTTAAAGCAGTGTAAGGGAGGTAATTCAAATACATCATTTGAATTACCTCCCTTACACTGCTTTTAAATTATGTATAAAGTAATGGTTAATAAACAATTAAGACAATTTAAAAGCAGTGTAAGGGAGGTAATCCAAATACAAAGTTTTGATTACCTCCCTTACACTGCTTTTAAATCATGTTTAAAGAAATGCATATTTATAAAGGAAGACCATTAAATGTTGCATCTTTTTTTTTTCAAAAAAATCCATATGAAAGATTTGACACCATATTTTAAATTCTATTATAAAATAGATTAAGTTAGCACTATGGTGAATTTAAATGGGTAATTATGGTTTCAAACTCCATTGGAAATTTGAAATGAGATTATGACCATATCTTGAGGGAAAGATTTTTTTTTGGGGGGAAAAACGGGGAAAAAAGGGGGGGGGGGGGGTAAAAAGAAATTATGGGGGGTCAGATTTCAGAAATAAAAAAGGGGGGGTGGTGGTGGTTTATACGGAACAGCATAGTGTATTGCACAAAATCAAAAAAAGGGGGGGGGGGGGAATTTTTTATTTTTTTTTTTGTGGAGGGGGGGGGGGGGGGGGTCAATTCGCAACAGCAAAGTGTATTGCACAAAAGCAAAAAATTGAATATAAGTTCAAAAACCAATTCTAAGTTCTTTGACTACAGTTATTCTGTGTCAGAAACCTTTTATGTGTCAAATATTTAATTACAATCCAAATTCAGACCTGTATCAAGCGCGAATATCGCGTCCATTTTGGTCCCAACTGTTCAGGATTGGACCTCTGCGGTCGTATCCAGCTGTGCTCGGCGAAGCAATTTATTGTAATATTTTAAAAGAATTGTTCGAATTTAAAATGCACATACAGGGAAACAAGGATCATTATCCCTATACGTAAAAATCAAGATAATTCTAAATACACGTTCATAGAAAAAGGAATTTATTACAAAGGATAATAATAATATATACCAGTATACTGTAATGGTCCTGGACCCAACTAATATTAAAATGTTTATGTGATGATATGAGATTAAATATAAGAAGATGTGGTATGAGTGCCAATGAGACAACTCTCCATCCAAGTCACAATTTGTAAAAGTAAACCATTAATATAGGTCAAAGTACGGTCTTCAACACGGAGCCTTGGCTCACACCGAACAGCAAGCCATAAAAGGCACCAAAAAATGACTAGTGTACTGTAAACCCATTCAAACGTCTATATGTTAATTGAATCCTTATCGAATACGGGACCACCATGTTACTAGTGGAAAGATCCCAATTCAATTTCTACTGAAGATTGGCTGTCAAAATGCTAACATTCCAATTATCAATAACAGTTAACAGCAAATACATTCTCACGATAACAGATAACAAAAAAACTAATAGTCCAATAACAGCTTACAAGGAATAAGACAGTAACAGCTAACAGCAAATATATTTTCAGAATAACAGATAACAAAGAATTAAATTGCACCAAAACAGCATAACAGTTAAACCCCTTGCCCCCCCTCGTTGATGTTCTCATTTAAATGCTTAGATAGGCCTCAACATTTACCACAGGCTCAAACCTCACTGCAAGTTTAAGATTGCCCCATGCACTGGTTTGGGTGAAATTACAGACTCTTTACAGGCAATGAAATGTAACAAATACTGATATAGTTTTCCCTACAATGATTTGTAACATACAGAATAAATAACAACCAATCAAAATACATTTTGTACTTTGCAAATAACAATACTTTAACCTTTTTTGTATATTTCAATTTAATAAATAAAAAATAAAAAATTATACCCCCCACTATTAAAGTAAGGGCTATGTTGCAATCACCTTATATGTGATGAGTTATAATGTGTGGGCACTTTTTGGGTCTGTCAAACACCCACTTCCTGTTTGCAGATACTGTAAATATTTATGAGTTAAAGAATAATATTTCAATATGTTGAATGAACAAAATTTTTAATCACGCATTTATTCAGTTCTACTGACAAGAACTTTTCACATTTTATAAGCAGCTTAACAGTAATTAATTGTATTGTGTGAGTATTTTTTATAATCTGTTGGACACCTACTTACTGCTTTCCGAATCTCGGAATTAAGATAAGGTATGCTTATCAGGAGGATGTGTGCATTCTTTTTTAAATTAACTTCAGATGGCAATCTTATTGGTTGACTTATTTTGCAGCAAAGTTTAAAAGAAAGCAGCACAGACCTTTCAAAGGAATTTACTTTTATTAACCATTATGTATTTTTGAAATGTGGGAAAACAGAATGATATATCTAATCTGATACTTACTTACTTACTGCCCTTGTACGCCATTGGTGTGTAGGGCAGTATCTAATCTGATAACTTCAGATGAAATCCTTTTTTGTTTACTATTGCATTTTACAAAAAAAGTTTCCATACGATTCCAAATTTAATTATCTACTGATGGCAAATTTATTGGTTGAATAACTGTGAAGCCAAGTTAAATAAAACCACCAGAAGTGTTGAATCAAAGTAATTATAACTAAGTAATCATAAACACTAGTGAAAAAAAAAAACATCGTTTTTTGTGAGGTAGTTAGAGAAGTTCAGACAGATTCAGTCTCTGGGATGTACATTACATTTTATGTAATCCAAAATAGATTGCTCTAAATTAAAATTAAAAGTTGATTTATTTTCAGACAGTAAGAGTAATGGAGATGGTGGGATATCAAAGGATGAGTACGAAGAGCTAAAAAGATTCTATGACGGTGAACCATCCACGAAAACATTACCAGAGAAGTCTACCATGCTTAGTCTTGGGGAAACCAATCAGGTGAATATTTATTAACGTTTTTGTATGTTCCTCACAGAGTTACATCAAACAAAACCTATTTTGATAATTTGGCAATAGTTTTAACTCTGGTCATACTTGTCCACTTTTGAAATGACAGCCTTATCTTGTCTGTCTTTTTGCCTAAAAAAACCCAAACATAAACATGTTGTTAAATTATGTTGTTGATGCATTGCAAAAAAGTCTGACATTGTGAGTATACATATAATTATATTTGACTTCATGAAAATACTTAATGAAAATCAAAATTGAAGTATTGGTTCAATTTAAAACAGAATATATTGCCCAGCTTACAGGCTACCAATTGGCTAATATGTTTCAATTCAATAAAATACAAAGACAAAAATGCATAAATAGACTGGTTTACATCTGTTCTTGTTTCTGTTCTTCTGTCTGTCCCACATTTTTTTTTGGACACATTTTTCTCAGGAACTACAAACTAGAGCGTTCTAAAATATGGTACCAAGATTCATTTCAGCATAATATTGTGTGATGCTTCATCGGTAATAAACTTTGTGATTACTGAACCAAAAAGTATTCTTTCACACAATGGCCATGTATGACATATTCGTTGCATTTTTCTCTGGAAGTCCAAATCAAGCCTTTCTATAATTTGGAATCAGCCTTCATGTGAGAATGTTTTACTGTTTTATAAGTTTTTACATCCATCACTCTTCAACTTTAGGTTAACTGAATACTTTATGTTGAAGTATTTTTAGTCAGCAGCAATATTAGCAGGCACAGACTTTCTTTTCATGGTTCCTTCATTGATGTTTAATATCAATAGAATCTTTCTCAGTTTCTGGAATTGTAATGTCAACTAAAGGAGCAGTCAACTGGCCCCTGAAATTGCAAAAATAGTAAATTTGTTCTAGTCTTTCAAAATTATGTAAATGTTCTATCGGGCAATACGTCTTCATCCACCTGTAAAAACTAAACTCAATGAAATAGCCATTATTGCTGAAAGTGGCGTTTAAACACCAAAAATCAATCAATCATATCAAAATCTAATGACAACATCTCAAAATATACAAAAAAAAAAGACAAAATTAATGACATTCAAGGTACACAGACATTTTCTGTGATCTAATACAATAAAAAATTATTATCTATGAACTTTTCAGACAGAAATCGAAAGTAACCTATCCCTGTCAGATTGGTTTCCATGGCAAAATAGACAACAACCTACATTTGTTGTGGATCATTCAAACCTAACAAAGAACTTTGTAGAAATGGTACAGTTTCTAGAGTTACAAGGTATATTTTAAAGTAGATGATATAATGTTAAATTTCTTTGCCTTTTTATTATAATGAGTAAGTTAAATCCTGCAATAAGTGAACTAAATTCAAATAATGGCCTACAAACAAGTTTTGCTATATTCTTATGATATAGGTTGAATTGAATATTTATTTTCTTCTAAATTTCTGTGATCTTCTATCATATAACTGTATGGAGACTTTTAAGAGAGTTTAATAACCTTTCAGCCTAAAAAAAAATCAGTGCTATAATCATCATATAGGTGTCAGACCACCAATTCACCCACTCCAATTTAGAACGTATGTAAAAGTAGCCCTTCCCTGACAAAAAACTAGTGGTTTTGATGTCTTTGTTTACTTAAAATAACCAACAAATTTGCAGAAATTAAACTTTTGTTGAAATAGAAATATATGTAGACCATTCATTTTGAGCCAAAATTTACTTGTCCATGAGTTTGCATTAAAATTGAGGATTTATGTGCACCATAGTATACTTATTTAAGATTTCTAGAAAACCAGGGGTTATTTTCAGCAATACTTGTCTTCAGAACGTTAGTATTTTGCTACAAGACTTTAAGCATAGGTTGAAAATTGGCATGTAGAAAGGTGATACATGTACAATTCAGGATATACCTGGTTTCTATGAAGTTAAACTCAAGGTAAAATATTTAGATAGCTGTGAAAATTGGTTGAATAGATAGGGATTTTAAATTGGTGGTCTGACACCTATAATGAATCCATAATTTAGATGACAATTATCAGTAATTCTGTTGAAACAAAAAGCTTAACTACACAATTCTAACCTAAGTAAACTGCAATACAATTTATCTGTGTTTGTTCCCCATTATATTGCTCTTACAGTTTAAGGTTTATCTATATTTGAATATGGGAAATGTATCTCTACAAAGATTAAAAATTAGTCCCCATATAAAGACATGTTACTTAATGTTTTGTTGTTGAAAAAGTACAATTTCAAACCCTTTTTCTGAAAAGATGAAATCAAAATTCATTAGCAATGCACAACACTATATTTTGAAAATTAAAAAAAGTTGTAAATTCATTGCAATGTTATTATGTTTCATGAACTGCAAGTGACTAGCTGATATCATCCGAAATTATGCTGTAGTGAAATATTTTAAGAAATCCTTAAAAATAACTTTTAAAAAAATGTAATCATTTTGGTTTCATAAAGCTATAGATTCTTTACTTGTTTTTCACTTTTCAGAGGCTTTAGATCCTAACGAGGACAACTATGGCCAGGAAATGGAAGTTTTCCTGAATGAGGCTGATATCTTAAAACCAGGGCAAAATGATGAAGATGGTGGGAATATTAGGCAATTCTTTGTTGCCAATGACAACACCATAAAACATGGAAAGAAAAAGAAGTCTTTGTATAGTCAAAATAAACCAAGAAGAAGTGATCAGCTGCCAGAGTTTGATGCATTTGTCGTATCTGGTGAAAGTGATGATGACCTTCCAGCAATTTTTGACAAAAAAGATGACAAAGACGACGAACATGTTGCTAAAAATGAAGCTGATGAAATAACAAAAGCATACAGAAAAAGTATATGCATAGGTGCAAATTTGAATAGGAGTGAGAAAAAGAATAAACAAAAGAAAAGGAACTTTAGTGGGAACATGTCAGTGGTTGAAGTGATTGCTGACACTGATGTAAATGATTTTGTAGAAACTGTTCCTGAATTTACTGTCATTAATGAAGAGAGCCAAGGAAGTAGATCAAATGAAGTTGGTAATGAGTTTAGAGATGAAAATATTACACATGTACAAATAGATATAGAACAGGCCACCCTGTCTAAGATGGAGGCTTCTGACTATGAGAAAATATCTGAAACAGAAGCTAAATCACAAGACGAATATTGTGAAGATTTTACTAAACTTTTGCCAACATTTTTCACAATGTCTGTAGACATTGTTTCTCCACAGAAAACAACAGAAACAAATCATGAGGTATTTCTTGTGCCAGATGCTCCTCCAATAGATGAACTTGAAGTATTGGTTGATAATATAAATAATTTGACAACACTGCCAAAAATAGATATGGCGCAACTGGTTGAAGAGTGGACATCAGAATATTCCGGTTTGAATACAAAGTATACAAGTAGTACTAAAAAGAAGAATAACAAAAACGTTGAACATAATAAAAGCAGTCCAAAATGTTCAGATGTCTGTGATGATAAAACAGCTGGACAAGATATGGGTGAAAAGAAAAATTTAGACAAAGATACTGATGCATTTAGTGAATCTTTTGATTTATCAAATAATGGCAGCTATCATCAAAAGCAAGTGGCTAACTTCAATATGGACATATCAAGTGATTTTGATAGCCCTATTCAACTACTAACAAATAAACCAAACAAAAGTAAAAGAACTACAACCAGTCTTACAGTGCAAAATAATACCAGTACCTCTGATAATGTAGAACATAAAATAAGTGATAACAGTTCACAAAGTGATATGGCGAATAATAAAAAAGAAGTGACAGATCTTGTTGAAGAACCAACACCTAAGTTGAATGAAGATGGTGTTGAAATGGAAATTGATTCCTTTTCTGGATCAGATGATTTCCTGGACACACAGGCAAATTTTATGTTGGCCAGTGATGACTTTCTAGGAGAAATTAATTCAGATGAAAGTAATGAAGGCAATAAGAATAAAGATTCATCGTTGAAGCTTAATAAATGTGTAGAACTTTGTAGAGAATCTGTTAGCTTTATTGAAAAGCAAAGAACAGGAGAAGCTGAATCCAGTAAGTCTTCCAGTTCTAACAATAAAAGGATTAATTCATGCAAATCTGTGGACATTTCTCTATTTGATGATTCTTTCATGAATGAGAGTGTTTTGGAGGTTGTAAAAACACCAGCTGTTAATGAGGAAAACATGTGTCAGTCTGATGGAAGGATTCTTTCACCTTCACAGTTTACTTTTAGTCAAGCCTTAGCATTTGTTCATGATAGTGATAGTATGGACATAACTTTCAACAAGACAGACCTGTCTGGTGAAAGGGAACAGGGTGTAACATTTAAAGTTCCAATTGAAAAAGAAAAGGTCAATCTAAATGTGGAGATCTTATCAAAACAAAAGGAAAAGGAAAATTTGAGAAATGAGGAAAGCTGTTTTTCAGATATGTCTGACCATCAGAAAAATATAGCTGCTGATTATAGCACTGAAACATTTACTGCAATAAAATCTCATGATAAACTGGACACCTCACAACTTAATTTAATTAATGAAATTGTTAATATGGATAACATGGATGATTTCAGTGATGATGGGGATGAGTCAGATGTACCTCTTTTTGACCTTGGCTTTGATGTTGACGATGATATCATTCCACCATCACCATGTTTAAGTGAAACAACTTCTCAGAAATCTGTTCTTAAAAATCTAGGTCAAAGTCTTCTATCTAGTAGGAAATCTTTGTCATTCATGTGTGACAAATCACGATTAGCCGGACAGAAAAACTCCACTTTCTTGAAACCGGCTTTGTCTCCTACAGGAGAGGAACTAGAATTAGAACAGGATGATGGTGATGACTTTGGAACTTCAAATGCCAAAATTGGTGAAGTTTCTAATGATAACAAAAGAACTTCCTCAACATTTTCAATGAAAGAAGACACATTCAATGTGAATTATGATGCTGGAGATGATGAAGTTACTCAGAAAAACGAGGATAATAATAGTGTCAGTTTAAGTGACTTTCATGGTGACTTTGATATGCCACCATCTCCAGTGTTATCTGGTAAGAGACTGCTTAGTCAGAAACCAGTTTTTTCACCAGTGAATCCTAAAATAAAATCACCAGATGGTCTGAAATCTAAATACTCAGCAATAAAGCTTCCTGATCAGGAATCGCCCTTGAAATCAAAATCTCCCTTGATAAATCTGTCAATTCAGGACTCTCCTTCTTTGGAGGACAGTTTCGTAGTAAGGAAAAAACGTAAAAAGACACTTATAATAGACTCACCAGTAACACCTGACATAAAGAAAATATGTGATTTTGATGATTTCAAAACTCCATTAAGACCAGTTAGTGCTAGAGTTAAGAAGAATATTTCCTCAACTTCAAGTGAGGAAGAAAGTATTTTAAAGAAGAAGAAACTAAAAAAGGCAGTTTCATTTTGTGTAGATGAATTACTGGATGATGAAAGTGATTTTGAAGATGTTAGAAGCATCAAAAAAGAAAAGAGAAACAAATTTTCCAACAATGAGATAAAAACTCTTGACAGCAACAAAAGCGATTCAAATGATAATAAAAAGAGAAAATCAAAATCTCCTAATCCATTTTTGGTAGATGAAGCGGATGTGTCTGAAGATGAGGAAGCTTCCACGGATGAGGAGGAAGGTAGTGATTTAGACCACATGGAAGACAGTTTTGTTTCTGAAGGTTGTACTCAACTTTCTCAAGGTCAGCATGAGGAACTCCAGGCCATCTACTTAAAGTCAGTACGTAGTCCGGCTGGTCAGGGTGGTAAATTTAAACTTAAATATGACTATGATGATAATATTGATGTGTATTCTCAGGTTCCCCAAGATGAAGAGTCTCAGTATTATGATGATAGTTTTGTTTGTGATGAAGAAGAGGAACATGATCTTCTGGAAGGACATGAAATCACCATATTAGATAAAGGCAATATTATTGACAATGAATCATTTGTTGGACCAAGGACAAGATGGTCAAAACCAAGAAGACATAAAGTGATGCCCACTGTAAAAACAATCAAGCGAAAGAGGGTAAAAAGAATAGCAGATTCTTCAAGTGAGGATGGATCTGATAATCAGGACATGAATCTTATGTCACCTGCAGAACCAGGAAGAAAATTCCTAGATTCTCCTGCAATGTCTCAAGGTCATGTAACAGTCAGTTCAAGGACGAGTAATAGAAACAGTCGTCAGTTGTTATCAAGTAGTGATGATGAACAGGATCAGAAAGAGAAAGCAATATCACCAGAAATTATGTGTTCACTTAAAAGTAGAATAACTAGCAAACAAAACTTAGTGACTGTTACAAGTAATCAGCCATCAGCTTCTCACAAATTAGAAGTTAGTGCAGATATGACCATATCAAAAGAAAAAGAAGAACGTATTAAAAGGCAAAAGGAAAAGCAGGAAGAATTTCGGAGACATTTGATAGCTAAGCAACAAAATAATGAGTCAGTAGACAAAACAAATAATTACTGTGATGATACTGCTTTATTGATGAGGAGAAATTTTACAAACACTGATGAAAATTCACATCTTACCGAAGACAGTGACTTACTGTTGAATACTACGAAACCATCAAATAAAAAATCTGTGATAATCGTTGATTCACGTGAAATAAATGGTGCTCAGGATATTATTTCTGCTCTACGATTCAATCACGATATAAATGTAGTTGCTGCCCAGTTAGACAGTTGTGATTATGTTGTCAGTGTACGAATGGGAATAGATCGTAAACAATGGTCTGAATTCAGCAATGGAACAAATCGTGCTAAAATGACCGAACGTTTGCTGGAAATGTGTGACTTTTATGAGCGTCCGTGTCTTATCATTGAGAAAGATAAATGTAAACTAGAGGAGAAAGGAAGAATATTACACTGGACCAAATATGTTGATAAAACTTTGGTTCATTTGATTCAGTCAAAAGTGACATTGTTTTTTACGGAAAACCAGTCAGAAACTGCATCTATTGTGGCTGATTTATGTCAGCTTGAGAACAGAAAGAACTGTGCGATATCTTGTTCTATTAATTTAAATACTGAACAGCAGAACAGGGTTAAGTTCTATAGAACTATACCTCATTTATCTTATGTTCACTGTTTATTTTTGTGCAATAATTACAAAACTGTGGCAAGTTTTTTATGCAGTGACGTCAGAACTATAATGACTAATGGCAAAATGACAGAGGAACGAGCTTCTGATATTTTTAATTATATCAGAAGAAAGTTTGATACTCAGATGTTACCATCAAGTTATGGATAATAAAACCTAAATTCAAATGTATTACTCATTGATTGACTACTTTAATGCCATCTGCCAGTTAGGCAATTTCAGGAAACTTTAATATTTGGAGAGATAGTTTTTTCCTTGTATAGATTCATATTTTCAAATCCAGAATAGTTTAGCACGTAAAATGGTGAAAAAAAGAAATGTAGGAATCCTTCATATAGTTACAACACACAAAGAGTTTAATTATTTGAGGTATAAAGAGGTGAGTTGATATTTTATAAATTTTAAATGTAATAATTTAATTTACTGTCATCTTATTATGAAATGAATTGTGTGATTGTTATCCTTGAAGGAACAAATGCAGCAGTTGATTATCAAATCCTTCAGAAAGTCTATATTGTCTGTTTTGTCTTTCTTACAATGAATGTCATGCTTCAATGACTTTGGAATAGACATAGATGATAATTTTCTGTGGAAGGTAGTGGTGTCAACAGCTTAGGTTAAGTTTTCTGACTAAGATGAATAAAAGAGGCCCCTCATTGGGTTGTTCAAGTAATCACATAATCATTTTTTTTTGCCAATATAATCACATAATCACAATTTTTTTGCCAATATAATCACATAATCATTAATTATTTTTTTAAACAAGATAATCAAATAATCAAAAATACAGTCCTAGATTATCAAATAATCAAATAATCATGAAATATTTGGTCTGGTAATCAAATAATCACTATAAAAACGGCCAAGTAATCACATAATCAAAAACCCTATGAGGAGGCTCATAAAACAATATGACTGTGTCAATGAGACAGTAACCTAACACAGAACAATTTAACAAATGTAAAGGTCAACACATGGCCTTCAACAATAGACAGGTCCCTATACACTATATGAAGTCCAATCACATGTCTTAAAAAAGTTGCTGATGAATACAACCATGGAAGTATTATATAACATAGACCTTCAAGGTCTGCAATCAACATAAGAAAAAAAAATTAAAATGTATGAATATAAGATATAATAAAAACTACCCTCAATCGACAAGGTTCTTGAATTAGGACAGGCAATTGAACACAAGAGGTTTCACTAGTTTCTCCAGATATCCACCCTCTCCCTTTTTAATCAAAGATCATACAATTAAAATTAATAACGGAATAGTACTAAACTCTCTGATAATGGTATAATGGAAAACAAAAAGTACAAGTATAACAAATTGTATAAAAGAATGCTTATACAGTTACTGCACACAAGCTGAGTCAAACTCAAAGTACTTAACCATCTGAAATGAAATCAACTTAAGCTGTTGTACACTCTAATATTGGTTGCTGTACTTCTGAGACCATTTCATACAGCAGTGTCATAAACAGTATAGGGAGACAGGATCTTAACGAACAAATCTCTGCAAAACTTTAATGCAAAACAAAATTTTCAAACTTTCAAACTATAAACTTAAACACCAAGGTTCTGTAAAAAAAAAATGCATGTGGAATAAATTTAAAAATGAAAAGCATCTAATATCAGAATATCTCTTATATAAGGTTTTGAGAACAGATTTCAATGATAAACTTTTGATAACTTGATAAGGTGTTAAACATTGATAACTTGTATAAATTTCAAGGTGTCAACATAACTTCTAAGATGAATTGACTTTATATTCAAGAAAACCTAGATAATCGAAAATTATTTGAACACGGAAAATTACAAAATAATTTGGAAATAAATCGGTCAACTTTACACCTACAATCATGGTGACAATGAATTAACACATACAATAATATATGTGTTAATTGCTTTCTATTTGTTTGAGTCATTAAAGGTTAATATGTGCACAGAAAAGTGTAAAATTGATAAGTATATTTAGCACAAACATGTCGAGGAGCCTTGTAAAATCTGTGAAAAAGTAAAAAGTTGGGATTTCATCAAAAAAATGCGGAGTAATTGCTACTGGTCCAAGGACACAGTTATCTTCCTTTGGTTTTCGTTGTCTACGAATATAGTCCCTAGTGTGAACAGTGTATAACTTGCATTTTTTTTTTATACATTTTCCCATATTATTTCTTGATATTTTATGCATGAAATATTAAGTAAGGGGATGAAATTACATGTTAAAAAAATTTGGGTGCTGAATCTTTATGTTAAGTAGTGATTTGGTCCAGTTAAAAAAGATCAAAAATTAGAATGTCTGAAGCTGGCAAACTGAATTTTAGCCCCCTTAACACAGAATTGTCAATATTTTGAGTTAGAGCTGGTAGAAGTTTCTATAATTTTGATATTATTTGTATCAATAGTAGTACACTACACGGTAAAAATCTTTTTGAGATAGAGCAGGTGCAATTTTTTTAATTTGAATTTATTGTCTAAAAGAAATGCACTACGAAATAACTGTGTTCATGGGCCTAAGAGATGAATTCTGTAAATGTAGATTCTGTACTTTGGCAACTTTCCTGAATGGTTTGCTGGTTTCAATTTGTCAAACTCAATAAAAGTAAAGGATTTACATCTTTGTTTGACAGAAATTCTGTTAAAATGTCCCATTTTGGCTTTATACGGCTAAAATAAGCATTTTAAAGCACTTTCCATTTTATGCCTAAGAGCCATGCTGACTTTCTATCTGACAGCTTTTTATGTTCCTGATATTTGTGTTTCTATGCTTAAATCAAATTTAATTAACCATTTGTGAACTCTGAATCTAGAGAAAAGTAGATTATCACAGAAAAAATGTGCAGAATATTTGTATTTATGTCCCTGGTTAAACAGCCTGTTTGATGTATGTGAAATGTGAAGAGCTTTGTACATTGAAAAGTGAAAAACTGGTCATCAGACCATACTGTCTGCAAAAAAAAGTTAAATTCAAGAGTCCTTTTGCAATTAGACTTCTTGTATAATGACATCTTAGCATAGAAATGAGCAAAAAGTAACAAATTTCAATTTCTTATAGCCTCTGTGTGCATTTTTATATGTAAATATGGGCTACTGCCTAAAACGACTCTAAATAATTCTCAGTCTTACATGGCCTAAGACCATTTTATACTCATGTGGTATGCATTTTGTAACTTTTCTTTACATTTAAAATACATTTAATATATATGGAAGAATAATGTATGGTTAAAAAACTTCAAAAACTTCAAATTGGTTGAAAAAAATGCATGTTTATGTAAGGCTTCCCTTAATTCGAAAATCTCTATTTTCAGACACAGGCTCATATAAATTTGACTTTTGAATAACTGTGATAAATCTGATAAATCAAATGAGTGTTCTGTTGCTTTTAATACTTATTATATTATATTCAAGAGTATTTAAAAAGCAAATTTTTGCAATATTTAAATTTTTTAGGCCAAAATCTTGACAGTTGAAAATATTTGATTTAAACGTCAAAAATAAACATACAAATTTCAATATTAAAATGGCCCTAGTTTCTATAATATATATCCTATGGCCATGAAACTTGGCCAACTATCTTATAATTTCCTAAGCTTTGGTCATGCAAACTTTTATTAAAATTGGTCAAGTCTTTCTATCCTATTAGGTCCAAGGACACAGTTATCGTCCTTTGGTTTTCGTTGTCTACGAATATAGTCCCTAGTGTGAACAGTGTATAACTTGCATTTTTTTTTTATACATTTTCCCAAGTTTATTTCTTGATGTTTTATGCATGAAATATTAATTAGGGGATGAAATTACATGTTAAAAAAATTTGGGTGCTGAATCTTTATGTTAAGTAGTGATTTGGTCCAGTTAAAAAAGATCAAAAATTAGAATGTCTGAAGCTGTCAAACTGAATTTTAGCCCCCCTTAACACAGAATTGTCAATATTTTGAGTTATAGCTGGTAGAAGATTCTATAATTTTGATATTATTTGTATCAATAGTAGTACACTACACTGTAAAAATCTTTTTGAGATAGAGCAGGTGCGATTTTTTTAATTTGAATTTATTGTCTAAAAGAAATGCACTACGAAATAACTGTGTTCTCGGGCCTACTCATTGGCAAGTCAAAAGAGACAGGAAGTTCCGAACAATTTATTTCACATCAGACCATTTTCAAAGTCTTTCAATATTAACATAAATTTATAGTATGTGTTCAAATATGTAAATGGCTTACTTCTTAACAGATGTCCAAATTGTAAACGACAGATTTTTGGAGAGGACCCGATTCACTTTTGGCAAAATTTGGCCTTGAATTTCAACTTTATCATGAAATATCATGTTCATGTAATAATTTTGGATCAGGGATGGAGGTCACACTCAATTATGCTAAATAAATTATGGAAAGATTGGACCAAAACTGACGTTACAACATGCGTATAATTTAAAGGTCATTGCTTCGTAATTTATAATTTTAGATGCCAAAAAGAAGACATTTTGTATTAAAAGTATAATTCCACACCTGTTTCTATTTGAAATTTGTAGAATTTTGACATTAAAATTTTAGGGACAATTTAAGGCATTCGTGAACCTTCTCTTTATAAAAAAAACTTAGCCAAAACCAATATTCTTATGGAAGTAAAGCTATATATATTTTCTTTTTGTTACAAATTTATTTATTTTGGTTATCAACGTCTACATTAAGCAAACAAAAATTAATCAGCTGTTTCACATCTCATTCTTTCATCACAATACCTGTAAAAATTAAGATCCATCAGATCCTTTTTATAATAAGTATTAGATGGTACGGATGTAAGCATAAGTGTCACATCTTGACATTTTGTGTTTTGTACTTAGTGTATTGTCACAGGCACTTTGAAAAAAAACAAACCTATATAGTTTAATATAACACGTGTCATATCAAAGTATATAGTTATTTTTTTCAGAGACAAGTGCCTGTGTGTATTGGGGTAAAGTGAAGCTTTACTGAAGTTTGAGCTTTACTTCTTGTTTTTGGTACGTGACAACAATGCTGTCACGTGACACTTTCGGACCACATGCTTTGTCGTCGTCACACTTTCTTTCTCCACGAATCTTGAAAACGACTTGACAGAATGCAATAAAACTTGCAAGAATCTTCTTTCCGATAAAAGTATAATCATGAAAATGAATAACAAAAAAGTACAA